ATATATATATATTTTCATATCTATGTCCTGCTCTCCTCCTCCAACTTTTCCCAGACAGTCTTCCATGTCACCCTTCAACTTCATGCCCTCTTTTTTTTTAACCCACTGAGTCCAGTTAGTACTGCCAACATGTGCATGGGCGTAGGGTCATCCACTACCAGAGCCACTTCCCTAAAGAAAATGGACTCTCTGTCCCTAAACAGCCTTTAGCTGCCAATAGCTCCTTAACTAGGGGTGGGGCTTGCTGAGACCCTCCCTCTTGATGGGGATCTTGCTGGTGCATGGTGGTGTAGGCCTTTAATCCCTGCACTCTGGAGGCAGAGGCAGGCAGATCTCTGTAAGATTGAGGCCAGTCTGGTCTACAAAGTGAGTTCCAGGCCAGCTGAGACCCTGTCTCAAAAAGACAAAAAAAAAAAAAAAAAAATTTAATTCTGAAATGAGAGATTGAGAAATGGTGACCCATTTGAAGCAAGCTTATGAATGATCATTTGTGGGTTATATAGTTTGGTCTGCATTGTTATAAATTAATTCTATGAGAAAGTAAGTGGGTTGGAAGAAGGACAGAAAATCTATTTATATAGACTTTATTTTTAGAGGCATGGTAGTTTTTTATAGTTCCTTCACATTCTGGCTAATTGGAGGAACCTAACAATCATTAGACCTAGTTTCCCTGTTAATTCACTGAATCTTTTCTATAGTACAACCTCATTACATGGCAGTTGAATTATTTCCAAAGCAAAGCCTACTTATTCTCTGAAGTATTTCTCTTTCCATAAGCTATATCTTTGTGAGTTCTTTGATACTGGCTTTTTATTTTTATTTATTCTTTTGGTCTTTTTGAGACAGGGTCTCCCTGTAGCCCCAGCTGTCCTGGAACTCACTATGTAGACCAGGCTGGCCTTGAACTCACAGAGATCCGCTTGCCTCTGCCTCCCAAGTGCTGGGATTAAAGGCGTGCGCCACCACGCCCAGCCTTTTTATTTTTTAAAATTATATGTTAAAATATTGTTTCTTGGGGCTGGAGAGATGGCTCAGTATTTAAGAGCACATACTGCTTTTGCCAAGTTCAGTTTCCAGCACCCACATTAGGTGCCTTACAACCACCTGTAACTCCAGTTCCAGGGATCCAACATCTTCTTCTGGTCTCCATGGTCACCTGCACACACATGGTGCACATACATATACTCAAGTACACACATATGTATGTAAAATAAATAAGTTTCAGAAAACATTGTTTCTCTAATTTGTTAGACTATCAGATACAAATTTGTCTTTGTTGCATATTTTTTGTTGTATGAGCATCAGTTATTGATTGAGTATACTACGAATTGAGTAATAATAAATCCCTGACATCTGGGACAGTCCTGTTTGTGGCTGATGTCACAGTGTAATTATTAATATCTTAATTAGTTAAGCCATTAAACTTAATTATAACTAGATGATATGAGATGTCCAATTATGCCTTGAATATTGATAATGGAATGGTCCTTTCTTTTATTTTCAGGTATTTTAACAGTAGTGATAACAATTTACAGTATTGGGGATTGGATTATCCACCTCTTACAGCCTACCATAGTCTCTTATGTGCCTATGTGTAAGTTTTTCTTCTTTAATATAACTATTTCTGCCCTTGGTAGACACTGTAAGGATCAGTGTGATCTGGCTTTATTAAAGAGAAGAGAGATTGCCTATAGCTTCTATTGTATTATTTGCTACAAATGAGTTTAATAAATGCTGTCAGAATTTGAACACTTTTATAATTTTTGTGGAGGACAGTCTAGAAAGAAGTATAAAAATTTATTTGGAGTAGAGATGACACCAGTTATGTACAGGTTACTGAGAACTGCATCTGTGGGTTTCCATGGGAAAGGCTCTTTTTCTGCAGTGGCCCAAATAAATGAAAAATATAGGTCTAAACGGTCTCCTGACTAATCTGTCAAGTTAGAAATGAATTTTGGCAGTGTTTCACTTAGGATTTAAGAGTCAGGATTGGCATGTCTCCTGAAGAAATGAAAAGTAGCGTATAGATGAGGTCTTGACTCTGCTCTGCCCTATAGAACCAGTTCATCTCAGACTTGATGTGTCAGCAGAAATCTAAGAACTTCTTCACAATAGCTCTCGAGCTTATTTTTCATGTTTTATTATTTCAGCTTTTAACAGTTTCCTATTTTGCAAAATAAGCTTTCATATATTGAAAATAACTTCCTAATAGCTGGGCATGCTGGCACACACCTTTAATCCCAGCACTCAGGAGGCAGAGGCAGGTGGATCTCTTTG